CTGGGAAGGGTGGGAGCGAGAAAAAGTATTAAACCCGATGAGCTTTGCACAACTTCTATTCCCCCCCTTTCTTTCCCTCTCTTTCCTTCTTTCTATCCTTCATTTTTTCCCCTTTCCCCGGCCGAGACATATGGAATCAATTTTGAATCCTGACATTGAAGGCTGGCCAATTCCTACTGGCTCTGAAAACCAGAATCCATTTGGTTCCCTTCTCTCCAGCACCCCTTGTCACTCAGTATTACAACCGTCTTGCAACATTTTAAGTCTTTATAAAGAGAAACAGCTTTCCAGAGAGATACGAAGGAGTCAGGAGTGGGGGAGGTTTTTGGGGGCGCCTTTCCTTTTCTTTTTCCTAAAGGGAACGTGCTCTCGCCCCCCCTCCCGACACCCCCATCCCACCCCGCTCGGCTCGGTATCTCTGCAAAGGGGGGCCGCATCCTTGCAATCCTTAAAGCTGTTTCGGAGGAGTTTCTCTTTTTCTCCAGGTCAAGTCCGTTCCTTTTGAATCGAGGGAGTAAAAAAAAAAAAAAAAAAGAGAAATAATTCAAAAACCAAAGCATCTTTAGGGAAACAAAATTCCAAATCGTCCGGGAAAGCCGTCAGCAAGATCCTTCCTCCGGGGTGCAATAAAGTAGTTGCTTCTCCTTAATTTGCCTGCTCCAGTTGCGAACTCGCCCCATCCGATCCGGCTTCGCTCCTTCTTCTTGAAGTCCTGGGTCGGACAGTCTCACAGGTAAGGAGTTCCAAACAAATAAATAAAGGAATGGTGCGGCTCTGCCTTTCCTCCCTTCTCCGGCGCTCTGAGATGTAATGAATTGCTCCGAGAGCTTTGACAGGCTTCTCCCCCGCTCTCCGCGAGCTGTAGCTGACTTTCTGCCGCTCACAAATTAAGACTGATGCTTCGGGAGCGGGAGAGCTGGGGATGAGCAAAAAAAGACCTCGCAGGGTCCATAACGGGGACCGGCCGCAAACCGCTTCTGTCCGAGGGGGTGATTCCTTGCGAAGTTTGTCTGGGACGCATTTGGTAAAGGTTTAGCACCTCTCTCTTGTTTGAAAAAGAAACTACAAAAGCCCATTGGAAACGCGGGTGTTAAACTGAAGAATGTTTGTGATGGTGATTTATGGCCCTACCAAGTTTTTTGTTTACTTGAAGCAGACCCTCATTACAGGGGCTTCTAAAACAGAAAGCCCTCCCCCCCACCCCGAAAAGAAGCTTTCCCAAGCTCTGTGTATGTCCATAGCGGGTTTTCCCTCCCCAGGTCTGGGTGGAGTGGCCAGATGTGACCAACAAACATCTGGTTCATTGAGCTGCTGTTCCTTTTAGCCGAGCCGTGCGTTTGACCGCAATGGGTAAGAAGGAGACTTCCATATTAAAGAGGCGGCTTCTGGGGTGTCCGAGCATGAAAATATCAGGGGTTTAAAGAGGTTCGATGTTTGCTTGGGTTGGGGGTAGGGAAAGAATGGCCTCCAAAATGGGTCATTCCGCTCAAATGCGGTGTCTGGGATCGAAGAGGATGGGCGGGGGGGGGTGTGAGATTACGCGTGGGAATCTCAGATGCGTTATTTACTATGGGTTTGTGCTGTTCGGTTGTGGCTGCTCCCCCTCCATCCTGCCCGGTGAACCCCCGATGGGTATTTTAAGAGCGAGACAGGAGAATCGTTTGTATGCAGGAAAAAAAAAAAGAAACACGAGAAATGGGGTTAAATCTGGAAAGTTGTTTTTTTTTTTTCCGCTTTAAATACATACATAATCGTGCTCTGTTCTCCCTTGGTTCCTCTCCCTTTAGAGCGACATCATAACTTCATCCTCGGGACAAGTTGCCAGGTCTAAAAATACTCTCTTAGATTGGGAAACTGGGAAAGTTTTGACTCAGTGGCTGATACTTCCCGAGGCGAGCTGCGATATTGGCAGAGCAGGAGCTCAGCTACACAGACAGCTTCTTTATTTTATTCTTTTCCTTTTTGTTGTTGTTTTTTGCCCTATTTTTTTCCCTCCTGAAAATTGCTTTGCATTAAATTTCCTCAGCTCCAGATTTCTCTTTACTCGCCTCCAGCTAAAGTTGGGTGTTTTTACCAACCGCTTGATCTGTTGGCGAATGAAATCTGAGAAGAAACCGCAGGCCCTGAGTGACCGTAATTTAATTGATTTTATCATAAATCATCAACTTCATGAAGAAGCAAAGTTTTCATTGAAGTAAATTGATATTAATGGACACTTTCTGAAATGTAACCGTATAGATCTATAGGGTTGTGCTCTTCTCACTTCTGCTCTTTTGGGACAGCGGATTTTAGGGGGATGGTGGGGGTATTTTTCTTCCTAGTTTTCTTTTCTCTCATTCTTCCTAAAAAGCGACTTATTCTCAGCTCGTTGGGGGGGGGGGGGGGGGGCTCAGATTTGCTTTGTGAGTGAATCCGGCAGCACCGAGATGTGGGGGAAAAGAGCAAGGAATAGTTTGGTTTCTCTGTGATATTAATCAGAGTACTCCCCTAGGCGGGTTATTCCCTCTGCCCAGTGCTTTGGTGGGCGCAGAGGGGGGATATCTCTGCCCAAAATCCGTGTGTCCCAGCTCGGCCCTGCCGCACTCGCAGCCGTGGTAAAAGCTCGGACTGAAATAGGACTTCAAACCCCCTCTTTCACCTCCGTGCCCTCTCCTGCGTTAAACATTGCCGTTCCCCAAACTTTCCCGCCCCATTAAAAATTAACCCGGGGTGGGTGGGAGCCCTTTGATGGGGGTGAGGAGGTGGCGTTGGGAGCAGCCTGCAGCTCCCGAGGGGTTATAGCAAGGGGCAGCACCTTTGGGGGGGGGGGGTGTGCGCAGGGAGGCGGCAGGGAGGATGCAGGACTCCGTGGGATCCACGCGCTTCCCTACAGACCATAAATATTCCTCGTGGGCATCCCACAGTAGAGAAATAGAATTCCTTGCCACCGCTTCTTTCTCCCTCTCCGGCGAGTTCCTCTTCAGAATTTGTTAGTCTTTCTGCATTCTCAGAAGGAAGCAGGCACAATGGAGCTCGTTCCTTCTCCCAGGTCCCTTCTTCCCCATGCCCAGCTTCTTCTCCAGCGCCAGCCGGGGCCAGGAATGAGGCGAGTATCCCTGTAAAACACAAAACAACCGAATTCCTTCCTTTTCTCATAGAAATGGCCACGATGGGAGCGTGGTACCTGGTCCTGCGGGAGGCTAAGGAAAGGCAATGGGAGAAAAGCTCCAAATCCTCATTTTCTCCTTCTCTTTCTTATATATTGGTGATTTTTTTGGAGGGGGGGAAGGGGGAACGGAGTGGGAATAAACGGGAAGCCCCCGAGGAACCTCATCTTAGGGGCCAGGCGAGTCGCCATGGAGGGAGAAGCCCATCCTCGGGGCCTCGGGGAGGCTGAGAAGCCCTTCTCGGTTTTTCCTGCTCCCCCAGACCCGTTACTTTCCCCCTCCGTTTCCGTCGTCTTTGCCGTGGGGCTGGATGCTGAGGCTGCGGGAGCGGTGGGTGCTGCCGGTCTCTTTCCTCACCTATAGTGATTGTTCGCCTCCAGATTAAAAGATAAAAAGGAAAACTGGTAGGAAAAAATCAAAGGAGAAGGCACCCAGAGCCCCCCAGGGGCCGGGCAGCCCCCGGGAACGGGGGCACCTCCTGCCCGGGAGCTCCAGGGAATTTGCTGATGGTGGAATTAGCGGGACCGGAGGGGGAAGCCGGGAATTTCCCAATTCTGGGGAAAATAGGCAAAAGGTTGACGTGTCCCAGTCACGTGGGCGCATAATTCAAGCCATTATTTTGGCATTTGGGAGGGAGGAGGGAGAAGAGAGAGAAGAAAAGTGGCGACGGTGATTCCCGGTTCCCAGCCCGTCTCCGGTGTGCTGCCCCCCAAAGAGCTGTTTGCAACACGCTGATCCCCCAAACTGGTGTCCCCACGAGCCCTCCCGTACCCCCCAACCCCACCGCACCCCGTGGGAGCAAGGAGAGGTGGACCCATGGGAGCGGGGGGGCTGCGGGGCGGGGGGGAGCCTCAAGGGCCGCTGGCTTGATTTGGTTTTGGGTTTTGTTTTTGCTTTTTTGGAGACAATTCCAAAGCACTTCCGCTGATTGATCATTAACCTGGTGAGTTATTGCTCGTCTAAGCAAAGGTCAGGGGGAGAAAAAGGTCTAATCTGTCAAGGCAAAGCCAGCGCTCGCTCAGTTTCAGTTTGATTTCTTATCCGGGCTGGCTTCTGTTCGAGGTTTCAGGAGGTCCTGCACCCTCCATAGCTCTCGCCTCCTGCTCGGAGCTCTGCCCGCCCTCGGGCTCAGTGTCTGGGGAATGGGAAAACCCAAACTCCTTCCCTTCAGACTAAATAAAGAGCCGAGGGAGGAGGAGCGGCCCCGCGGAGCATCCGCGGGTGCGGAGCAGGGGCCGGGCGGGACTTGCGCCGCCTCCAAGAGAAAATGAACAGAGAAAAGCCCCCAAATCAAAACAAAGAACACGGGGGAGTGGAGGCGGGGGGGAACACCCTCGCTCCATCCCTTCTCTTGCCTGCGCTGCCAGGGAATATATGAAAAACAAAGAAACCACCAGCCCCCCCCCCCCGCCCTCCGCGCTGGAGCCGTTGGTGATTCCAGCTTCTTCGGGGTTATTTGTTTCTCTTTTTGCCTCCTCCCTCCTGCATCCACTTCCAAATAAACGCCGTTTTCCCTCTTTTCCCCACCTCTTCCCTGCCCTCTTCTCCTCTTCCTCCCAGCCCGGAACTTGCTGAAAACAGCCTGAGTTCACAGCGCAGAAAAAGCTTTTTCTTTCCTTCTTTTTCCTTTTCCCCTCTTTCCAAACCTCTGTGCGTGCTCTACAGAGGGAACCGAAAAGCCCAGGGAGGGCTGGGATGTAAGTGGAATATTGCCAGAGCTGTGTACTAAACTGTGAGCCCATGTAATAATAACAGTAATAAAACCTCCAGCTTTAGGCCGCCGAGCAGAGAAGGTCACGAAGCATCAGAGGGGGATTTATGGACTCGGGGATGTGGTCAGGAGCAGAATAGGGGTGTGAGGGGAACATTTTTATTCGAGATTAGTAACATCAACATACAGAACGGAAACGGGATTATTAAGGCGTTGGAATGTTTCCCTAAACGAAAATATTGTTAAATTAGATTGTTTTGTCTTTCTCCTTTTTTTTCTCCCTTCCCGAATCCTTCGTGCCAAAGTTGTGGCCATAAATCTCGGCGTGGCTTTCAAGATGTTTACGTCTCCAAACCGTTAATTCTGATACCGAATCACTGCCCCTCTGGCCTCGTACACTGCAGCGCGTCTCCATCCTCCCCCCTCCCTTCGTGGCAATCCCTCCACCACACTCAAGAAACACCAAAACCCCCATTCTGTATCTTTCAGGCTTTGCTGCCTCTTCTATTTTCTCTACTGTTACATTGACGTTGAACCCAGAGCTATTTAACTGCAGATATTTAATCTCTTAAACGCATTTAACCCTGAAAATACCACCAGAATTTAACCCAAACCCTTCCCAATGTATATATATTTGAAATGGCATCTGGAGTTCACCACCAGCCGTAAGCAAACCGCCCCTGGTCCACACCAAACGCTTCCATCACACGCGAACCCCAGAGCGGGAGAAGCGTTTCCTTCGGGGGGTTGTACGGGGCGAGGAAGGACCGGAGGGAGCGCAGGGGTTTACCGAAATAACCCTGGTGCCGGGATGAGGATATCGGGTCCTGGAAATGCCGGTGACTGGGGTGGGTGATAATGCAGGAGGAACTGCTGGGGCTTTTGTTCACCAGAGCCCGTCTTCTCCCCTTTTCCACGCAAAGGTTCCTCTGGATGATGAAGCCCCTCGTTTCTCACCGAAGTTTCATACTTTGTTTTCTCTCCTTCCCCCTCCCCAGCTCTCCTCCTTTCCCAAAGCCCGCCACTGCCTCGGCTTTGCTGGACCAGACGTTCCACAACCGGTGAGTTTGGCTCAATATCCAACCTGTGCGTGTCTCTGTGTCTCCCTTCATTCCTTCTCTGAGGGCACCCAAAGTGAATTCCCCTCCTGTCCCATCCAGTCCCGTCCCTCTCCCCCACCGCCAGGATAAGCAGGGCTGCCCTGGATTTCACCGGACTATTTTCATTTTGCTACTGGCTTGTCCTTAAACTTGTGATTTATGAGCGTAACTTCGAGGGAGTGTTTTAAATTGAAGATATTTCCTGTACTCCCTTTGAAGGGAAATCCAGGCAGATTGCAACATTTGCTGCTGATTTCGGGATGAGGGTGAGGGAGTTACATCTTAAAGAAAAATAAGCTGCAACCAAAGCAAAGATGCCAAAGGGAGCCTAAAACCTGTGCTTGCAGGAGCTCAACATCTAAAAGAGCAAGGACCTTCTAAAAGGTGGTTTTTTTGGCTGCCAGTTAAAATTAAAGCACGGTTTCGCGCTTGAGAGGAATTATCTCCAGTATTGGAGGGACTTCTGGTTGCTTGAGCACTCCCAGTTAGTCAGTGGAGATCCAGATTCAGAAACCTAGAGAGTATTTTACCTACTGAGAAGTCTTTAAAAGAATAGTCCACTACTGGTTTTCATCCTTCCTTCCCTGAAATGTCAGCGCCGGGGCTCCAGAGTAAGAATTGGCTTGAAGGAGAAGATTTATGTTGGAGTAGTTCATGAAAAGTTTAAATAGGGGGAAAAATAATGGTGTCCGCCGGTGGAAAGCTCCCTCCCAGCAGAACAATAGCTGGAAACACCGCGGTCCGTGGAGCAGGACTTTATCCATCACCTAGAAACCCTCGAGTAAGTCCTCTCAAAAGTCAAGTGTTTCCTGGGGCACGCTTCTTTTTCTTCCTGGAGTTCTCAGCTTAAAGGTGCACACACAGACACAAAAACCCCCAAACCAAACCCCCCCCCCCGCCCTCGACGGGCCGTCCCTTCGCGGCGAGGTCCGAGGAGCCTTTTGTGATCCCACTTTTTCCTGCTTTGCTAATTGTAAATTCCCCCCCGTCAGCACTTAAGCCAAAGGAGCGAGCGCCAGAATTAAAGGAGGGGAGAGAACTGCGATGGGGAACAAAAGTAGCACTTAAGAAAAGAACAAAAATAAAGAAAGGAAAGTGCAGACACCTCCATTCCTCCCCGCCTTCCTCCCCCCTCGCAGCTCCTCCTCATCACGGGCTTTCCCCAAAACGCGAGTTTCTGCTCTCGCAGCCGCGTGGGAACGGGGAAGGCGTAAATCTCCTGTGGCGGCAGCGCCTCGCTGGCAGCAACGGCCTTATTAATAATAGCAATAATAATCATCTTTATGGCTCAACACCTCGCTGCTCTGGCCTCCCCCGGGGGTAGTTTGAGCCCCGACACCCCCCTTCCCCCCCCCCGTAAACCCCACACCTCCACCCTGGCGGAAGCCGGGGGGAGCCCCCAAGACGCGGGGACGCGCAAAGTTAGCGCCGAAGTTACGCGGGGCCTCGGAGTTGCAGCAACACGAGCGGTCCCCCCTTTTCTCCCCCTCCCTTGCAACCCACGGCTCCCGAGGCTTCCGTCCATGTGTCCCCCCCCTCGATCCCCAGAAAAGGGGGTTCGGGGGGTTCGCGGGTAAACGCCACCGAGGGATCGGGGGGGGCAACGGGGGGGGGGTGTGTGGAGTGGAGGGGGGGGACATGCTATGATTATGTTATTAGCATCAATCGACGCCTAACTGGGGAGCACGTGAAGCCGCGGCCAGGTCCGCACCCGCGCCCAGGCCGCCGGTCACCGCCGCTGCCATTAGCATCGTTCTTCACTAGTGACGCTGTTCGGGAGGCTCCTTGGCTCTTCCCGGCAATCCAAACCAAATCTTGGGGTTTAAAAACAGCCCCCCCCCCCCCCCCCCCCGGCTTTATCCCCCCTTTTCCCCTCCTTCAGTAGCCTGGATTCTTTGCGTTATTATTTTAATCCCAGCCAAGCATTGCATAGTTAAAAGAGGGGGGGTGGGGGTGGTTGTGTTCAGCTTTTCTTTCTTTCTTTTTTTTTTCCCCTTCTCCTTTCCCTTCTTCCCCTTTGCTGTGGAAAGCAGAGGCCATTGTTATCAGTGAGCAGCGCGTACCAGCTATAGGGCAACTCGAATCTCAGGGTCTGGCCATTCAAAGCCCTCAGCACATCTTGGAAGCTGGAAAGCATCTTGATTTTTTTATTCCCCCCCCTCCCCTTCTCTTCCCAAACGGAGACAGAGAGACAATTTGAGCTGTCGTAACCGAAAGCTCCACTGGCTGAGCCCCCTCCCCCTCTGTTTGGGCTTTTTTTTTTATCCATATATACATGCATATGCTGGATTTTGTTCCTCTCTCGCTCGTATATTCCTTTAACGCTTTTAAAGGAAGGGGGTCATTCCTTGCTTATTGATTGCGTGGATGCTGGATGTGAAAATATATTATGTCTGCCTGTGCTTTGCTCGTCAGAGACTAAGGTAAGCCGGACTCAAATAGGCTATCACTTTGTGAATGGCGGAGTATATGTCCCAATGATTTATGACCATATGACTCCAATCTCGGTTCAAGAAGAGTTCACAAGCTTTAAGCTTCCTTCCACGCAGAGGCTCCTTCGCAGCCCTCATCCAGGGCCCTTTTCCCCCCCGCTTTACAACTGGGGAGTTCTGGCTGGGGTGAAGCTCGGTTGTGGGGGAGGGAAGAGGGAAATTTTAGGAATGTGTCTCTATTTTGCAGGCATATCCAGCGCCAAGGCAGGGGCTGGGGTCTGAGCTCTTCCTGAGCAGCCGCCCTATTGTTAAGGGCATGTTTGGAATATTTATTATTAATAATAATTGAAATGAAAAGCGGGGCTCTGCCTGGTTTCGCTGGCGCTGGGAAATGTACCTTGGGAGGGGGCGGGGGAGGGGAAAGGCGCCGCTCTTCCTCCTCAGCACAGGCAGGTTGTGAATTTGGGGGTTCCAACATGGAGGGGATGGCGTTAACACCAGAATGCCTCTGCCTCGGACTCCTCTTCCCTTTTGCCTTCGACCGCCGGATTTTGCCTCCTGAGCATCCTCCTCCCCGCAGCCCTCTCGCACCTTCCCTTCGATTTTTCTTCTTTTTCTCCTCTTTTCTCGTCTTTTGATTTGGTTTGGTTTGTTTTGTTTTTTTTTTAATGCCTCCAAACCCTCGCACTCCGAACTTGCCGGCAAAGAGTTTGCGTTAAACGCTACCGCTCGCAAAAGTGAAACTTGGAGCGTGAGGAAAAGCGGCAGCGCGGATCCCACCCGGCTTTAACCGCACCAGGAGATAATCGAATATTTATTATTCTGCCTGAGATGTGCTTTTTTTTTTAAAAGCAATTCCTTGGAGTAAATAATTAGGATCGCGCCGTCCCCGGCGAAGATAAATGAGCGGCATTTGCGAGGCGCTGAGAGATGAGGTACAAAAGCAAAGCTGTGGAAGCCACGAGCGAGCTTTTGGGCGAAGGGGGTTGTAAATTTATTTTATGGACATGAAAAAAAAAACCCACCACACACCAAAAAAAAAAAAAAAAAAGACAACAAAACCCCCAGCTATCGTCGCTGTTATTTTTAGCTGCTTTAGCTCAGCCTCTCGGCTCGGTTTGGTTGGGATTTGGTGTTTTTTTTTTAACAAACCTATGCCAGACAGGAAGGGCCTTGGAGAAATTCCCACCTCTGGCCTCGTAGATATTTTCAGCGAAGCTATTCATAAGAAAGGCGCTGCTGTTGCTTAATTCATTCCCAGCTCGAGCTCGGGGAGTGCAGTCTACTTTTTAATAAGACATATTTATCATGGCGAGGAAAACAAACGCGAGTAACTCCCTGTCCCCTCGCTAGACAATAATGCATCTCCGTGGAAGACACTACACGGATCTGGGAATGCAGAAAGGATTGAATCCGTGTAGAAAAGCAAAGCAGCTCCTCCGTGGCCACATCTTCGGAGACTGTGAGGGAAGTACACGGAGGTTTCATATGACATGACAGAAGAACAGAGCAGTCAGGGAAGGGGAAAAAAAGATGTTATTTATTGTCAAGCTGTGGCTTCTGTTAAACCCCGGTACTTAGAAATATCGCATCAGGCTTTATCTCCACTGAGTTTATTCTATTTTATTTTAGAGAATGAAAGAGCCCCGATAAAATTAAATATACAAGAGATAGAATTAAATATACAGTGGGTATCAATTTCCAAACAGAATGCACGGGGGTTCCTCGCAGCTCTGAGCTGCGGGGAGAAGCCTCTGCCTTTGTAAAATATGTGAGCTGCTGACTGAGCCTCACACATCGGCTTGTTTCCAGGGCAAGATAGTTTTCATATTTCCAAGGGTATTTCCACTCTGTCTTTATGGTCAAGGAAAGTTTATGCTTTGAGAAAAGACAGAGGAAAAGATCAAGAAAAATGAAAAGGGAGAGGAAGCAAAAAGGAAGGTTTCATTTTGTAATTTGAGGCTTTGGACTGGGGTTTTTTTAGACTTTTGAGCTTAGACTGAGGGAGGGAGGAACAATACAAAATCAAAGGGAGGAAAGTTAGGAGCAAATGGCCTGGTGATGGGTCAGTTTTCCAAGGGAAAAGAAAAAAGAAAAACCCCAAACCCAACAGCAATTAAACTGGTTTTGGAATCGCATCTTACCAACGGCAGCTCCGGGTTAGGACGGATGAGCACAAAGCAGAGCAGGCGCTGAAGGGCTGTGTTTTCTAAATACAACCTGTGCTGCCAGAGAGGGGGAGGCTATCAAACAGGCCAAAGGAGGCACATTCTTGAATTCATGCCCTGCTTAAATCTGCTTGAAATATTTGCACTGAATTCCAAAGACATTTGTGAGTTCCTGTGTAAACAGCAAATGAAGCCAACTGTGTCAGGACACCCGTTACCTGCAGAAAACATAGTGGCTATTTGCTGGTTTCAGTTTAAAACTGGTTTCAGTTTAAACCAGACTATTTGCTGGTTTCAGTTTGAGGCCCTGCAATCAACTTAGCAGACTTTTAATTTCTGATGCTATAAGGCCTTGCTGGTTTTTCTCTGTGTGAATGGCTGATTTGAATAGGTCAGGGGTAAGAAAGCAAGACTTCATTCCTTTCATGCTTGGAGCCAGCAATTATCCGTTCTGTACTCTCAGATTTACATTAACGTGGGTGCTCTCTGAACATGGACGTGTGGATGTGCACGATACTATATGCATACACACACACACATTTAGATGGGAGTGCATGTGTAAGCATGGTGTGTGTGCATATATGTATATAGAGAAATAGAGAAGTAAATAGATGTGTACAGCGGAAACCACGTGTACTCGTAGAGCATGTGTGTAGTCACACATCCTGGGGGCTATTCTCCCAGGGAAAAAAGGGTGCAAGCAAGGAAGCAACCAAGTAGGAAAACTACCCTCCAAAATAAGCTCAGCACTCCTGCACAGTAACATTTGTTGAGCCTCCTTAGGCTGCGCACAGGACAAAATCTGCTCAAAGCATCTGTTCGGCCTGTTCGGCGGGACCCTATTCATGTCATGGGCCTTTCAGGCTCCAAGATGGATTCATAGGCTGGGTACTATTATTGTGTGTTTTCTCCTAACCTTTCAGGTCAGCTTCCAATAGACAGCTGGAAACGGCCTGTCACGTGGCCTTGGGGTGCCAATGTTCTGCCATAGGGGTGTCAAGACCCTGGTAGCTGGAAAAATCATTTTGGGGAGTCCCAGAGATGCAGAAGACAACGTACTACGACAGCTCCACGCTCTTTGGGGGTTACTCCTATGGGAGTGCCAATGGCTTCGGCTACGAGGGTGCCCAGCAGTCCTTCCAGCCGGCCTCTCACATGGAGAGCGACTACCAGAGGTCCGCCTGCTCCCTCCAGTCTCTTGGCAACACAACCCCGCATGCAAAAAGTAAAGACCTGAATGGAAGCTGCATGCGTCCAAGTTTGCCCCAGGAGCACCACCCGCCTCCCCCCATCTCGCCGCCCCCAAACCCTGCCACCAACAGCACCAGTAACAGCAGCAATAACCAGTCTGGGAGCAGTAAAAGTGCCCCCAGCAAAGCCAACCTCAGTGCAAACGCCAGTCTCACCAAGCAGATTTTCCCCTGGATGAAAGAATCCAGGCAAAACTCCAAACAGAAAACCAGCTCCCCTAGCACAGGTATATGGCTCTGCTTTCCTAAACAGCGAGGGGACACAGCCACTGGGTGCAGTGGTCTGGTTTGGAGGGAGGGGAGAGGATCCAGTGAGGATCCAGTGAGGATCCTGGTGTTGGGCATGATCCCAAAACTGCCAGCCACATGCCCTGGTGAGGCCAGGAGAGCCTTGGCTTGCCCTGCAGCACTGACTGTGCACACTTGGTTCATTTTCAGCACATCCAGAGCACTGCAGGGAGATACAACCAGCAGTTGTACACAGCCGATGTCTGACTGTGTACGGACAGATACATGGAAATGTCCACCCACTGCTTGGCCCAGTGATGATAAAGCAGAGTGCTTGTTCTCTTCCCACCTTCCTGCCCCTAGACACAGCAGTAAACATGATGCCCTCAGTGTATGCGTGCGTGTATAGGGCATGAGCACAAACACGTGCATTTTGCATGCATTCATGTGCATCTCTAACAGAAGAGGGAAAACAATCAGTAGAGAAATATCACTGTTTTGAGCAACAAATTCATCTGAGCTTTGCTGCACACACTTCGCTCTACATGAGTATAATTTATGTGGTTTATACATGCTTATCTCAGAGAAAGGTAGGTACAAATGCCATCTTTTAAGGGCGTTCATGCAAATATTTGGGTTACTCAAGTGCAAGACATACACAAGATGTGTGCGTGCGCATTTGCACCTAGCAAACACAATTCCTCCTCACACTGCCCCGTGTTAGTGTTAATGGGCTTTGCAGTCACTGCCCCCCTGCCAAATATTATTTTCTCCAAATTATCTGTTGGAAATAATCGACTCCTAATAAATGGCCCTGGAATCCTTTTCTCCGTGACATGATCAAATTTTCATAAACCAGGGGCAGCTTTGGAGAACAGAACTCTTAATAAATGACATGATTATGGAGTGCAGGCTAATGCGAAAGGGTGATGGAAGGGGGGGGGTTTGAACTCTTGTGCCTGTTCCAGGATTTATTAAGAAACGATGCATTCAATTGCTGCATGTAAGTAATTATCTTTGATTTCATTTTGTGGCCAGCAGAAACCTGCAGCGGCGAGAAAAGCCCTCCAGGCTCCTCGGCCTCCAAGAGAGCCCGCACAGCCTACACCAGTGCTCAGCTGGTGGAGCTGGAGAAGGAATTCCACTTCAACCGCTACCTGTGCCGGCCCCGCCGCGTGGAGATGGCCAACCTGCTGAACCTCAGCGAGAGGCAGATCAAGATCTGGTTCCAGAACAGAAGGATGAAGTATAAGAAAGATCAGAAGTCAAAAGGCATGGGGTCTTCTTCTGGAGGGCCTTCCCCCACCGGCAGCCCGCCCCAGCCCATGCAGTCCTCTGCTGGATTTATGAATGCCTTGCACACCATGAGCAGTAACTATGATGCCCCCTCGCCACCTTCCTTCAATAAACCCCACCAAAATGCCTATGCCATGTCAACTAACTACCAAAACCCCATCAAAGGCTGCCCCTCCCAACAGAAATACGCCAACACGGCCCCCGAGTACGACCCCCATGTCTTACAAGGGAACGGGGTGGCCTACGGGACACCCAATATGCAGGGAAGCCCCGTCTATGTTGGAGGTAACTATGTGGATTCTATGCCCACCTCTGGCCCATCCCTTTATGGCCTCAATCACCTGCCACATCACCAGGCCACCAACATGGACTACAATGGGCCTCCCCAGATGCCCCCGAGCCAGCACCACGGACCATGTGAGACCCACCCCACCTACACAGACCTTTCCACGCACCACGCTTCTTCTCAGGGCAGAATCCAAGAGGCGCCCAAGTTGACCCACCTGTGATAGGGAGCAGGGGCAGGCTCAGGCAAAGTGGATGGGACCCCACCATGGGGCATGGGAGAGGGGAAGAGGGCGGAATCGGCTTCAGGAACATTTGTGTTGAGCTATTTTCTTTCTTTCTTTGACAGGGCAACTTCTACTAGCTTGTTGTGCTTGTTATTATTATCGCTGGGTTTATTAGGCACAATTTCCAAGCATTTCAGTAGCTCTCTCTCTGAAGAGATATACCTCCTGTGTTTCAGCACAAATGCTTCTGAAGTGGATGTAGGGTAGTTTTATGGGAATCTAGCCAATTTCAAGCAGCAACGTCCTTCATTTCCAATCCAAGCATAGATCGTCATTGATAATTTTTGGACATTGGAAAGGAGAATGGTCAGGAGTCAGGTCTTTACCGTTGATGTCTCTGCATCTGCATCAACATGCACAAGTGTATAGATATGCAATCAAGAGAGATTCACAAGAAAACTACCCTCTTCTTGACTCCTCAAGAGGAACCTCGTGCTTTTCCTTCCCAGCCCGATGAGGAAGGGCACCGATTAACTTCCCACCAGTCACCACATAAACTGCAAATATACAAACCTGCCAACGCCTGGGATTCATGCTCTTCCCCTCCAGCCCCTGCCTCCCCTCTCAATAATAACAATAATCAGCATCAAATTAGAATAAGGGAGGTCTAAGTATTGCAAAAGGTTCAGGAAACAAGGGTTTTGAAATGCCTCAACCCCCCAACAATAACAGCAGTCCAAAGAGAGGAAGACAGAGTTGACAGGTCTGAATATTTTCCCACCTTTGCCTCTAGATGACATGAAGTCTCTGTTCAACAGTGTTGGGTTTGTTTTTGTTTGGGGGTATTTTTCTTAGGGTTCCTAAACAGAAAAGCAATCTTAAGACTCAGAAGTCCTACACTTCTTTCCTCCTCTTCTCTTGACCTTACGTGAAAACAGGGTATATTTGAACAAATGGAATGTCCTCCCATCGAAGCAGAAGTGAATGGATCTCTAGTATTTGCTAATGCTTTCTTGTCTGGACATCTTTGTTGCACTTAGAGTTTACATATAATGGGTATAAAAACAACTTTGAAGGGCTTTCGTCCAACTCAGTCGAGATGCCCTTCAATAGGTGTGTGTTCTGGTGAACATTCATATATATTTATTGGTTATAGCCAGTTTAAAATATTTTCCTTTTTTTTGGTATTATTTATCCCCAATATTATGTATTTATATGAGGAAAAAAAAAAACAAAAAACAAACAAAAAAAAGAAGGAATCAAATTGTACTTTTTTAGTATTTACCTGTTCTAAAGGACATTGTGTTTCCTTGTCATTGTACAACAAGCTTATTTTAGTTATTGTAATTTAGGAAGACCAGTAGTTTTATGTTACCTTCGTACTTATGAATAATGTAATTAGTTCTACTGGAGGCATGAGAGCAGAACCAGCCTGTAATTGTATAGTCCTGAATTAGAACTATAGCTAATCCCTCCCTCCCACCTCACCCCGCCTCTTCCGAGCTCTTTCTTTGTTCTTACAGTAGTTATTTTGTTTCCTTGCTAAGGGTTGTCTGTTGAACAATTCTTGAATAAACTTTCTGTTATCAATTTTATCTCGTCCTCTCGCTGGGATTTAAAGGAGAAAAGGAACCACGTGGATGTGAAAACAGCGAGGAGAAGGCGAGGATGGGGTCTGGGCAGCGGTCCTGGCTCCGGGTCCCCTCCTGGGGTGAGAACCCGAGGGTCTGAGCTAAGCGTGGCCCTTGCGCTGTCCCTGCGCGGTCCCTGCGCGGCCCGGCCCGCTCCCGCGGCCACAAAGAGGGTCACGTGGTGCCGGGGCCGGGCTGCCATTGGGCCGCAAATGAAAACAAAGGAAAAAGGATTAATGACAGAAAACGCAAGATAAAGGGCGCAGAGTTCCCATGCGGGGCCCTTGAAATCCCATTCCCGGTTAGAATTCAGCGCTATTGAAATACACGCACATGTGCGCACAAGCGCGTAGGCACATGCACACGTATGTACACACGCACGCACACCGACAGCCTCTCCACCCCCCCGTACTAACACACGCCTTTGCAATTGCTATTAAACGGGAGAAAAAAAGCCCGCTACCAAATGTTACGTTATCAGTGGGAGCAAAAGGGATTCTGCCCCTCCACCAGCAGCAGAAGCAGATGGGATAATACCGTGAATAATTTGCCTTTTATGCTCTAAAGCCCCAAGAAAACTTACGTTAAAAGAGCGAAGGGGCAATAAAAGTTTTATGATGGTTCTGGAAGGGGTGAACTGCTCGCTGAGGACCAGGATGAGGGGAAGGTCCCCCCGAGGGAAGCAGAGGGGGATGCGGGTTGCTGCCGGGAAAATAGAAAGGCTGGAAAAGGTACCGATAAAAAGAGCTGGTAAAGGTACCGATAAAAAGAACGAGGAGGATGCTTGTGTGTGTTCTACACCCTGTGTGCACAGCCAGGGCCAGCCTGTGGACAGGTCTAGTGAGGAATTGAGAAATGATCCCGTGCTTCTTTCCATCTCTTAATAAAAGAAGTTCCAGGTTAGTGATTACAATAAAAGGGACAGGGCTCCTTTCCCTCCCGGGCTGTGCCCATTCATATAGGGGCCATCACCGCTCGGGGACAGCGGCAGCTCGGAGCAGGAACCCGTGGGGGCTCCTCTCGGCCTCGGCTCAGAGGACAAGGGCCTGGTTTAGGCTCGAGTTTGTCCGTGGCTTTCCCCCCACTTCCTTCTCTCTGAATGCATTTTCTTGTCTCTCATCCCCGTCGCCATGTTGCTGGGATTGCCAGGAATGAGCTAAAATCGGGACCAGCAGCCAGCCTCGGCTCCAGTTACCGCCTTTCTCTGTCCTTCGCTAACCCTGCGCGTTTGTTCCTATTTCCCCTGGAGCAGGGAGTTTTGTTTTGTGCCTCCGCGTGGTGCGTGGGAAAAATCCCTCTTTACCCAAGAGGCTTCTTTTTTTCTTCCCCTCTTTTCTTTTTTCCTTGCATTTTACCGTCAGCCAAAGCAGTTGGGAGTGGCGGGGTTGGGCTCCTTTCAGCACCCCAAACCGCACCTCAGCTCCACGTTGTCCCCTCAAAAGTGGGGAACCATCAGCCTCAGGGCAAAGCCGAGCCTCCCAAACCGCCGCTTTAACCCACCCGAGCAAGAAGCGATCGGAGACTCAACTATTCGCTTTCCCATCAGTAAATGGTGCCGGGGATGAGCACGCTGACGCCTGTTTCAATAACCGCGTTCACAGAAATGTAGGGAAATTCTGCCTTTAATTGAGCTGCGTTTTGTAAATGCTTTTTTTTCTGTGATTCCCCCTCCTTTTGCTAAGCTGCGCTCCAGCTTTGCATTTATTGTGTGTCTCTCAGGAGCCTTCACCACCCACACGGATGCTTCAGCTGACAAAAGTTTCCAGGCTTCTCCCTGCGTGAGTGGGGGCTGCGGGAGAAACGGGGCTGGAAAACCCGAGCCCCAGCAGCTTATCCCCCCTCCCTCCACAATTTTTACTTTCTAAACTTCCTAAATTCAAGCCTTTGAGTGAAAATTTGCCATCTTTCTTGGTCTAAATAAGCTCTCAGCAAAAGCCCAATCTCTTTGCTGAGTCAGTCAGGCCAAGCTGTCAAAAGTCTTTCGAGAAGAAAAGATTGATCGTTTCTCTCTTCTTTTGGGTTTGTGTGGAGCAGGGCACTTGAAAAGGGAGGGGAAATCTTCCGGGGAAACGACTTTTCGTTTTATTTCTTTATTTTGTAAACTCTGGAAGTGGAAGTGAGGAAAAAACGGGAAAAAAAAAAGATGGGAAGGAAGAAATGTGATTTTAAAGATATCCATGCCCTTAAAATATGCTTGGCCTTTAAGGCAAGTGCAAAGGGTCCATTAATTCTGCCTTTAGAAGCAGAAGGTTTGGGCTTTTCTTTATAAGTAATTTAACTCGGGAAATCAGGCCGGTCTAACTAGACTTGACTTGGAAGCTCCGTTGATTTCAGAAATGCTCATGTACAGACTCGCACAAATGTAGGCTTCAACTCTCCAAGCTCTGCGATATGCAGAGATACAGAGGTTTAGAGATACAGAGATAGAGATACAGAGACATAGAGATACAGAGATACAGATACGTAGCAGTATAGCGGTACAGAGATATAGGAAGCTAGCTAGGTAGATGAATATATAGAGACACAGATACATCTGTGATGGGCAGCCTGCTCATCCCTGCCCACGGGCAGGCACTGAGTGGGGCACCGGGCACCTCCCGGGGGTGTGAACTGTGGGGAGAACAGTGAGGGCAGCTGGAGCTGCCCGGAGCAGGCAGGGCAGGCAGCACAGGCAGGGCAGGCAGCACAGGCAGGGCAGGCAGCACAGTCGGGAGCAATGGTGGTGGCTGGGGTAGGGGGTAGAGGCTTTTCTGGGGATCTCTCTCCTTCCCCCCCCCCCCCTTTTTTAATCAATTAAAGAAAATAATGCTTTCTGTTTGCCACCAGGCCCCGCCTGCCATTGGCCAGGGCTGGCCACGTGACCAGGAATTGGCTGCAATTTCGCCCCAGTCTCGAGTTTAATAGAGCAAGGTCCCCATACGCCTGTATTATCAGCAATATAACAATTATAAAAAGCCCGAGAACCATCATCATCACTGCCATCAAAACTAAGGCCCTCCGATTTCTTTCCTTCTTCCCCTCCTCCTCCCTCTCCCCCCTCCCGCTTTTTAAACCCTGGGCCCTGGGAAAGCCATGAATTTTGAATTTGAGAGGGAGATCGGGTTTATAAATAGCCAGCCTTCGCTCGCAGAGTGCCTGACGTCTCTTCCCGCTGTCCTGGAGACATTTCAAACTTCATCAATCAAGGACTCGACATTAATTCCTCCTCCTTTTGAGCAAACCGTCCTCAGCCTGAATCCTTGTTCCAGCAGCCAAGCAAGACCGAGGAGCCAAAAAAGAACATCTCATGGCCTGCTTCAGCTCCAGCCCCAGCCTCCGGCACCGCCCGGCCTCTTGGCAGCCGAATTCCCCTGGATGAAGGAGAAGAAATCCTCCAAGAAAGCTACCCAGGCTCCATCCTCTTCTTCCTCTTCTTCCCCCCCATCATCATCATCCTCGGTGCCGGTCCCTGCCGCAGGATCTCCTGCAGGTTCGTATAATGAGGGGGTGAGGGGGAGCTACCGCGGCCCCTTTGCTTCGCTTTCCCTCCCAGCCCTGAATCCTTTTACAGCCTACGGGAAAGAAAAACACCCACAAACACAAACCAACAACAAAAACCAGAATAAAGAGCGGATGGGGGGGGGGGGGGGGGGGAAGGAACAGGACGGGCAAGGCTGCATCAGCAGAATGGGGAGGAGGGAAGAGCGAGAGGCTCCGGTACTGCGGGGAGAGGCAGCTCCCATTGCGGAATAAACTAAATACACCCCAAATCCTTCCCCAGGCAACCGACAAAGCCGCAGCTTCCTCCCAGGGCGCCCCTTGGTTGAGCAGCCCAAGCCAGGGACCCTCTTCCCCCCCGGCCGCCGCCTCAGGGGCTCGGTAGCACCGGCCGGGTAGGAGAAGGGTGGGTACCGGCTGACCAGTAACACAGGAATAACGAAATCAAAGCCCCGCAACATCCTTTGCTGGCGAAAGGAACGGGAGGATAAAAATAAAGAATAAAGGGAAGTAGTGAGTTGCAATTCCCATTATCCGCCAAGGCGGCAGCGACGGAAGGTCCCTAAAGGGAGAGGCCAGGGAGAAAAATCCTTTCTTTGCCTTGGGAAGGGGAGCGGAGAGCTGTTTCCAATCCTCTCCGACAGTGGGAAGAGTTTAATTCCACATTTCTTCCCCCCCCCCAACCTTAGCGGTCCCCCCCCTCCTATTAGAGAGGGGCTCGGCCCTGGCTGCCCTTGGGGGGGCGGCCCCAGCTCCCCCCTGCCCCGCTCCCCCCTCGCAGCCTGCGGTTTTCTGTGTGTTTAAGACACCCAGGGGCCGGCAGAGCCCGGCGGCGCCCGGAGGCTCCGGACCGCGTACACCAACACGCAGCTGCTGGAGCTGGAGAAGGAATTTCACTTCAACAAATACCTCTGCAGGCCCCGGCGGGTGGAGATCGCGGCTCTGCTCGACCTCACCGAGCGGCAAGTCAAGGTCTGGTTCCAGAACCGCCGCATGAAGCACAAGAGGCAGACCCAGTACAAGGAAAGCCCCGACGCGGAGCTCACCTACCCCGCAGCGGACGAGGGCAGCGACCCCGCGGAGGAACCGGGGGGGAGCCCCGCGACCCCGGTACCCCACGGCAGCACCAGGCCGGGGCTGGCGGAGCCCGGCAGCCCGCCGCTGGCAGGAGGGACCGGTGGCGCTGGCCCCGCGGCCCGTGGTCCCCCCGGGAGCCAGGGCTCGCCTTTGCTGCCAGAGCTGAGCATCCTCTCAGCAGAGTCTTGCCTCCAGCTCGCCGAAGGGCTTTCCCCCGGCCTTCACGGAGCCCTGGAGAGCCCCGTGCCCTTCTCCGAGGAAGACCTGGACTTTTTTACCAGCGCACTTTGTACGATCGATTTACAACATTTCAATTGCCAGTAGCGATTCCCCGCTCCCGGCCGGGCCGCCGTTTCTGCCCCTTCCAGGCGGCTGGAAACCCTTCAGCCCCAAGCAGCTCCCCTAGTTTC